AACAAATATGAAACAAGCGATTCCTCGAAACCCAACTTTTCTTCGTAGAAATCTATTAAGTTTTAGTCACTGACATTCGTTGTTGCAACCTAGTTGTGTCTTCAGAGCAACTCCGAAAAACGTAATCCCTATCCTGTTATTTGTCGCTGTCGTGTACTTTGCAGCATCAGACCGTTGTCTGGCTGCGTTCCCTGCTGTTTCCCTGGCGATGTAGTCAACGTCATCGCTGAAAACCCAATCTCAGCACTAAGCCACGATTGATCGAAATGGCAAGTAAAGAAGATTCTCCGGTCTAAACCTCTTCGTATCCTAGCTTCTTTCCATATAGTTCAGAATTGTGTCCCTTAACGTAAGCATAATGAGGCGTAAACACCCTCACGACCTGACCTAACTAACCACACAAGAAGAAGGAATATAGTGAAACGAACTATGCTGAAAAAAGCTGTAGATAGGAAGTAGACATTTGAAGCGAGAATGAAGGATTAAGGTACAATATTACAAATTAGCTGTCACAATTGGGGAAACGATTAAACGTCTGGGTATAGATCTCATATACGATTTTATTCTGGAAGAAGACATTAGAATAATGTCAGAGGACCAAGTCTCTAATGGCAATCCAACAGCCTCTTTACACCTTAAGGAAACTTTGACAAAACAAAGGCCACATCAACTTGGTCTGCAAATGTACACAGAGAGTTCTGACTTCACGAACCAATTTGTAGATCGATAAGGAGTTTTCTTTATTCCCCTCCCCACGAAGCAGAAAAAATGGGGACGTGTTAAAGCCTCTTGCCTGTGTTACTGTGCCTCCTAGAACCACTCCTTTAATTCTACATCATATGAAACATTTACAGTCTCTATCAATCCTAGCCTGCATCCTCATAAAGAAGCTGAAAGAGTGAGGCTTGAGCTAAATGCTGCGTGATTGGCCAGCTGAACATTGTTGGCGACACATCTTTGCCAAACTGAGGACTCATGAACACATCAGACCACAGTTATAAAAGTTAAGCTTTCCATGGATTCAAGAGATGTCAGTTGAATCTGATGATGACCTGATGAACTCCTAGAGGCTAGTTCGTTCGGCTGTCCGTATAACTGCTGTACCAAGCAGCCGTCTTTAAAAGTGGTCTTGTCCAAACTGGGCCATCTCGTAAAATTGTATTGCAATATCTTAAAGAGTATGTTGACAAAATGATAGTCTACTTTTCGTATACGCAGAAAATTGAGTTTGTCAGGAAACCTTGCATAATTTATTGAAGCTTGACATTTCGCTTCGAGGAAGACTGTTTCAAAAGAATGCGTGGATTGGCCCCACCGGAAAGCTAAAAAATTGCCTTGCAAATGTGACTAGACATTTGTTCGAAAAAGACCTCGATAAACAATACAGAGACCATGACGAGTCAGACTGAGCTTTCCTCTGTCATCTGATAGGCATTATCTCAGGGCTTGAGACCATTATTTATAAAAAAAAAGCACTTAACGACGAAGGTTGAACGGCTTCAATCATAGCCTCTTCGATAACTTAATCTTGTGATAATAAAAAGGGATCTCGTTTTCCAAGAAGTTAGTCACCATAATTCACTTAAGGCGATTTAAGGACTGATTGTTGAATTTTACAACAATACGATGAGTAGGCCCCACGATGCCATCGAATTTCACTCAGTCCCACCTCCCAGGATAGAGTACTGTTTGGACCTAGCCCAGGTTTCATCACCAACCAGGATGCGATTCAACACGGGGTCATGAGCACCGTCAAGCCGCTCCCATTCTGCTAAACAGTAACGGGTGTAAGTATGCCACAGGATAGATGCAATATTTAAGGCAAGCCAGACCTCTCCACAATACTATTATAATTAAAAAATTCCAATTTTAATCCATAGATCACCTTAAGCAATGTTTGGAGACCAATATAAGAACTGGATTTGCCCTATTTTATTTAAGGTAATTAAGGTCAGGAAGATATGAAGACCAAGATGTTGTGGCCTCTGTTAGGGTCGCAGTCTCCTTTCGATTTATAGAAGTTGGTTGACCTCGTTGTCGCAACTTGGTCTTGTGTTCGGACTCGGTGCGTTCTACATAGTCTCCCTGAACACAAGACCAAGTTGCAACAACGAGGTCAACCCACTTCTAAGGTCAGGAAGTTTAATTTTCCAAAAAGCATATGAAGGCTTCATGTTACCATTACATTTCACATAGTCTTGCATCCTAAAAGGTAGTCTCATCAACAGGTGACTGCAGTTTCTTCCTCGCCTCGGTCTCACCGGCACTACCAGCGGGACTCGAATCCGGCTGGTTGTAGTAGTTCAGTGCGTAATTTTGCTACGTTAATCACTACGCCATACAGCGCTGCAAAACGCTTTTTTTCGAAAACTCTATTTGCTGTCTTATGTTAACCAGGTGTTCTGTCAGTTGGGATCATAGGCCACATAGACATTATTAGATGGTGGGTCTGTGTTTTTTACTTCCCTCTCTCCCTTAGCAATTTTTTGGTTTTTTCGATATAGCCAGATTTTAGGATTAGCAGTAATTCTGGATTAACAACTTATTCACCCCATGTCTCTGAAGGTTATTTAACTACGATTGTTGAATTTTACCACAATCAAATGAATAGGCCTCAGGAAGCCATTTAAGTTGACGTAGCTTTACCCCAAAGGATGACTACAGTTTTGACTTTCGCCTTGGTCTCAACCTCACCCACAACGATATTCGATATCGGGACGTTAGTATCGTGATAACGTTCCCATTCCACTCCATGGCTGCGAGTACCACTGGGTCACAGGGCAGTCATATTTACAGTGGTATCGCTCAATAGGTGAATATGTATTTGCCATTAAACTCGAAGACATTACTTATTTTCGGTATCAGTAAATTTGTAGAATATCCGTAATTATTGAACATGAACTTAATGACGATGGGTTGCCTGAGGTTATATAAGATCTGGTAGTCTGAGCCAACAATCATTATTCACTAAAAATCACCAAAAGCACTAAACCAAGAAAGGTGTCCTGCTGAGATCCTAATTACTTCTTATATCTAGCGGCAATCTTAAGGGGCATTTCATGATATGGTGGGCTGTTTTATGCTTGCTTTACATGCATGCAAGCGAGTCAAAATGATGCAGGAAGGGGAGTAGAGGTGGTCACAACTTTTGTCTATGCAAATAAACTAGCGTATGGTCATGCGATCTTGGGCCTTGTTATGGCTGGCAATTTTGGGTCCGAAATCAGGTTTCAGCTTCGTCAGGTCTTGTCGTCTTACTCAGTGGTTCTTCTTGTTCCCTTTCCTTCTCTCTTTCTCCCTCTCTCATTCTTTCTCTCTATCTCTCTCCCTAATCCTCTTTAGCAGCCAGAAGTAGTTCTTAGTTTCCTACACTCGTTTCTCTTATTTAGGATACCCTTTGCCTTGCTAATTTCAATTGACTCCCAGATCTCCTGGTTAGTTGTAAAGTCCCCATATTCAGCAAAATGTTGGGTTTTAGACCACTTTATTTGATATCTTGTAATGACTGTGTGTTCACCCACCTCCAATTTCTGAATTAATAAACCTTTGCAGGCGGTTCTGTGTTCTGATAGCCTCTTATGTATGGGTCGACACGTTTCCCCTACATAAACACTACCACCTTAAAACAAAATATTATAGCGTCTGAAGATTCTATAAAAGAAGGCATGACCAGGGAAAGCGTTACTATTACTTTATACATTGTCTCGCCACTCCATTTCCTCAGTAATTCTACTATTTTACTTGAAATCTTGCAGGATGGTAGCATTGGGAACCTGGCAGAAGCGTTGCCTAATTCCTTGTCTTGTCCAAAATAATGTTTTCCTTTCACTCTATTTCTTAGTATTCTGAAATTGTTAACAATTTATCCATACGGATAATTGTTCTCAACTAAGTTTATTTCTACATTTTCTAAGTCTTGTTCCTGATGATTTACGTCT